ATTTTTGTTGGTACATAATCATAAAAATTGTTGTACATAATTGTACACAATTAGTACATTTTAGTAGTATATACGATTTTTCGAAAATTGACATCGACCGGAAATTGACTACCTATCCTAAAGAGCGTTCATCTCGAAGGGATCGATGGAAGTCATTGCAGTCATGAAGTTTTCAAAAAGGTTAGTACATGAATTAGAGGAGCTACTTTTGATTTTTCGTTTTTATTTTCATGATTTTTAGATTATGAATACTGTATATACTAACTTTATGAGCTTGATATATAATGGAAAAAGCGGAAAATTATCTTTTCAAAATTTGTTTTAACTAACAAAGTTTAAAAAGCTCAAAATTAAGTACAACTTTTCTTTGTACGAGGGCGACTATTTAAGTTTCTTCAATATGTATGTTTTAGTATTGCCCGATGCAAACCATTGTCATATTCGTAAAGTTGGACATTTTTCATGACCATTTGACTTAACAGGACGAATTTTAGTTTTGTGGTATGGCCACGGTGTCAGTTGGAAAAGGTCAACTTCGCAAAAAAATGAAATTTACAAAAAAGATTATTTCTCATAAGTTTTCAAAAAGAGCTGCCTGCTCAACAGTATTACTTCCGACTCAAGTCGGGGTATGGGAAGGAAGTACCATGCCTTACCACTGTATACAACTGGTTCACTGAATCCCATCGTCATGGTGCTCGCTACAGTGATCAATTGCGCGATGGTCCTTCGAAAATTGATGTCATCGAGAAAAACTCTGGTGCCGATTGAGTTAGGATCGAAGTTTCGTTTACAGTTAAATTGTGGTATGCCCAAGGATCACAGAGACTCCAATCATTTGGTTCTTCTATGAATTACAACATGAAAAAAATAAATCTTTACGTGTCAACCCACAGTTGCTCAAAAATCGATTGATTTTAATCACATCCAAAAAATCATAACCAATTTGACATAGGATAATAAAAACACGTCTATACGATCGCAATAGAAGCCAAGACATGATTCCAGTAGTTTGGACCTGAAACAAAAACTTGGTTGACTCTCTGAGTCTTCAAACATGAACACAATCGAACAAAAGTTGTTCGTTTGTGAAGTGATAGGGAAAATCGGACCTCATTATTTTACAGTGTTATGTGTCATGCCTTAAGAGGATGAAAGGTCCTTCAATGCTGAATAGTACACAACCATTTGATTGTCAAAAGTCATCACGGGAATATGGAGACCAAAACTCTGAAACTTATAATCCCAAAACATGGCAAAAAGAAGCCCATCAAACAGTCGACTATTTGACCACCCAAAAGATCGAATTGATGCACAATACTCCGTGTACGAATTATTCGGGACCCCTCTGTCCAGTGTCCACCAGAGACCAAAATCAGTTGGATACAATATATTTTTCGTACTTGAAATTAGGTGCATATTCAAAAAAGTGCACTTTTTGGAGTGTCATGTTTAAGCTGCTGTCGTAGCCATACCACAAAACTAAAATTCGTCCTGTTAAGTCAAATGGTCATGAAAAATGTCCAACTTCACGAATATGACAATGGTTTGCATCGGGCAATACTAAAACATACATATTGAAGGAACTTAAATAGTCGCCTACGTATATGAAAAAAATTGAAAAATTGAGATTTTGTTACACAACAACTTTTTGTTCACAAAAACTAGCACAGCACATAACCGTTCACGTTTACCAACATAATAAATATTTGACTCACTACTTGTTATCACTTTCAAAACTACTACGGTTGTATTTATTTCGAGGGGAACCTTTGTATTATTCATCCGCCCAATTCGAATTCATATATTTCATACCTCATCACCTCATATCATCAGTTACTAAGAGTTATATACCATTTTTACCATAAGATTCCATGCAGTATAAGTTCTTAAAGTACGGGTGAAAAAAACGACATAAGACCAGACTGAGCGGTCTTCATCCTAGCCTACGTGCTTTTTCGAATCTGATCTTAATTCGTTCTTCAAAACAATGTTTTAAATTCTCAGACTACCTGTCAAATATAAAGTCACCAAATGGTTTTAAATTGTAAAAAAAAACTCGCTGTGTAAGAGTGTCACTGTTTATGAGCTTATCTTTTTCTATTTTTATCCAACAATAAAATATTCAAAGAGACCAACAGTGTATTTATTATTTAGGTATTTCAGCGAAAAAGTAGTGTCAACGGTCGTAGTACATCGAGTTCTGAAAAATATAAAAAAATAAAATCAACCGAGAAAAAAAATAGATTTTGGAAAATTAGTACAATGAGTAGCACAGCTCCGAGCAATGTGGCCTTCATTCGAACGTCCAAATCAACGGGGAAACTGATACCAAAATGGTCAGCATCTGTAAAAAAAAGGGCGGGATAGTCCAGACCATTTGTATTTGATATTTTAATGACTTGATTGCATACAATGATTTTTGGATAGAATAGATCCGTAAGATCTCCGCAAGATCCGGATCCAAGCGTGCGTACGTAGCCGCATGATACATACATTCCTTACTCCGTAATGCTATGGCATGCGAATCAAAGAAGGGGAAATAAGAATAACGAATTTGCGTGCGTATTATATATGTATGCATCATGCGGCAGCGTACGCACGCTTGGATCTGGATCTTGCGGAGATCTTTCGCATCTATCCTATCTAAAAATCATTGTATGCTTGATTGCGTTCATTGCAAATACCTGTAAAAAATTCTTGGGCCAATCCAGACCACCTCTTTGAGATTTTACCAACTTGAGTGCCGTTCATCGCATATACCTGTAATTATTTGATCGATTTTGGCATCATTGATTCTTTCATGAATATGGATTATTATGATTGATACCTTGAAAGAAGCATTTCCTATTGTGATGCCTGGACCTTCGATGTACAGCACTGTCTGATTTAGATGGTCTTTTACTTTAAAATGTGGATAGACGAATGTAAATTGTTGCACAATGCGTCCATAGACTTGGCCACTCGGTGACATTACATCAACCGATTCAGAAGAATACCCACAGCTATATGGACGAGAAACATGAATCACTTCTTGCTGATTGTGGTCAAATATTTGCATTTCAAATGGCCGTTTCGACGCTTCCACACAACACTGTGCACAACAGTCATCCTCCTCCCTGGCATAGTAAATCTGGTTTAAAATCGTGGGAGAAATAAACGAATTTTAACTAAATAAAATACGGTTTGGGCAGATTTAAGGGTTAATAGATTAATCACTCACAGATTCACCGCGGCTATTCTTTATGTGAAAGCTATTGCCGATTTGAAAATTGGCTTGTTCCCGAACCACTAGTTGGTTGGCTTCCAGTAAATATCCCAAACTACCCAACCCATGTGAATTGTTGACAAGTGGTGCTGATGGAGACGATGCATCTGCGAACAGAAAATGAATTCATCAAAATTATTGTCATTTCAAACACTCTTTTGTAAAAATTATGAGGATTTACCGTAATTGCCAACCGGGTTTGGCTGAGTTCTTATTGGTTGTGGTTCTGCTACGCGAACAGATCCGTCCTAAGGAAACAAATCATGTCATTTAAATACTGTTGATAAATATAGAACTATTCGATTTTGTGAGTGAATGACGTCTATCAAACAAACCATATGTTCAGTCGGTTAAAGGAAGAAAAGAAATGGCTGTTATTCAATATTCACATTTGACACCAGCGATTGGTGATACAGTAGAAAGGATTACGGAAAACAGCACCGCAAGTTTCATTTGAATTGAGTGCTATAAAAAATAACATCACTTTATTTTCGACAGCGATCAAAGCGATAAAACGAAACCGGGTTCATAGGAAGCTCTTTCCTCAAGTTTTGCTTTATCTCATTAAAAATCCTAACAATGGCCATGAGATTTCGATATAATCGTAACCAGTATTTTCCAGAAATCACGCACTGAAGAGAGAGGAGAATGGAATGGTCAACACTTACAATTAATGCGTTTGTATTATTTATTGAACAACTATGGCCAAAAGTCAATCACACTAACACATGCATGGCTTTAAGCGACGCTTGATAGACGCGTTGCTCAAAATCAAATTAGAGGCGGAAGAGACCAAGCGGTTACCGCTTACGTTCTATTGGAATGTAAAAATAAATTTCACTCACATTATCAGATGATGGAACACCTTTTGAAAATGTTACTTGCTCTGCCATTGAATTTTGAGAATCTACACTAGAAAAAATATTGAACAGTTTAACTATTTATTAAATTATTCAAGACGAATTAAGTTTTTGCTCAATCGGAACTGTTTACAAAAATGCCACCGAATGTGTGTGAGTCTATCTCGCACTAAATATGACTTGTATTGTGTTTTAAAAGTTGCTTGTACTCTTTAAGTTTAATTTAAATGTAAAACTGAAACAAAAAAATGATAAAAACCGTCCAAAATTGTGGTATACGGAATAAAATTCCAACGGATTTCACTTTCAGAATAATAATGCTGTTCATTCAATATCTCACATAAAATTGATTTCACTTTGTTAGTGACAAGGAATGCTCGAAATTACATCATCGACGACCTTGTGAGGGCTCCGCCGCCCGTTGAGTTCGTTTTCAGAATTCGGCCTTAGTATTGATATTAGTCGACATGCTTTTATTAATCAGCGTGTAACTTTTCAATACGTAAGGGGTTTCCGGCACTAATACGCAGCTGCGGTCCTCTATGAGTAATTTGTGCGTAGAATTCTTGCGGTTCGAACGCACAAGTCGGATTCACGACGAACATTTCGCATTGACACCGACAAAGGCACTAATACTAAATCGATTTTTTTGATCCGAAAATAAACTCTGAAAAATTCAATATAATAATTCGCGGAATGCCACAGAAAATATATTCAAGCATATCAATTTAATTGGGAGAAATAACACAATTAAGAAACAAAATCGGACGATTTTTTGTTTGAATCATTCTCGCTTTATTTGGCTGATTTCATATTTCATTCACATACATAAAAAAGGCATTTAGATTTAAAACAAACTTTCTTATTAATTAGCTACTTCGTGAAGTACAATATAATATAAAAATCAAATTTTATTCGATATTTGTCATCATTTTTACTTAAAAAAATGTATTTCTTACACTACATAGAGATAGTTTTGGATGCCGGTCCATTCGAATGTCTGGGCACTTAAGTGATTTACCCGAAAATAAATATAACAATTCGCAGAATGATAGGTTATCCCACAGAAAATATATTCAAGAGTATAAGCGATATCAATTCAATTGAAATTAGTTTGAGTGGTAATTTTAATTAAAATTTCATAGAGATAAACATATATACATTATACTGTTTTCTTGGTTTGATTATAAACAGCTACTTTAATTGTACGGTATTAAACTTCTGTCTACGAATCAAATACTATCTCAATAAATATTTGTTCAATTGATCATTTTTTGTGGAGCAAGCACATTGGATGTTTAATAATAACAATAATTTGATTTCAGAATTCGTCATTTGTATAATATGCACTCACACATCGACACCTTTCGAATACAAATGTTCAGCTATTGTTTATTCCATAGAATCAATTTATTTTCGTATTCATATTCGATGTATGTTGATTGTAAATTGACTCAATAGCAAATTTTCCACTGGTTCTAATGAATTCTGTTCAAAAATTGAGAGAAGAAACGCAATCTGACGAATTCTCGCTTTTGTTTGGCTGATTTCATTTGTCATCACTTTTAATTAAATGTATTTTTTACACTACATGGCGATAGCGCTGGATGTCGGTCTATTCGAATGTCTGGGCACTGAACCGACTAAATCAATTACTTTGTCTTGAAAATTGTTTCAATACTCTAGAAATGGTTTTACCTTTTCACCACTTTAAACCTTGACTACGAAGAAAAAGCTTATTATATCCCATTAAGTAAAGCAAACTTTTACTTACTCTTACCTTTTACTTTTCCGCACACACCTAGTGTGAAAGGGGAAAGTATTGCAATAGGTCAAAATTTACGAAACTTCAAAAACATGTTTTCTGGACGTTTCTGAGGTCAGAGAACCCGAATCAGGCCGTTTTGAGCATGGTTGTTGTGGGTCGCTTCCACGTCGTACGTCGTACGTCGTACGTTGTCCGCCGTACGCAAAATTTGTCCATCGATTTTCTCACCACCCAGAAAAGTTATTTGAAATCTGACTTCACGGGATGATTGGAGGTCCCCAGGAATAGAAATCATCAGATTTTGAGCGACTTTGGTTGATGGAAAAAAATTCCATGCCTGGAGTGATACCTATGAAAAAGAGTCCAATTTTCGTCCAAAAGTCATACTTAATGTAGACTTAAACACTCAAAAATATGTATTGGGGGGTTTTTGGCACGAGAAAACCGAATCCGACGTTAGTTTTGAGATACAATCAATTTTTAATACAGTTTCCTTGAAAAAATCACAAAAATAACCTGTGCAAAGTTTCACGCCATTAAGGTAGCATACAGACATGGCTCCCATACAAAAATCCAAATTTGTTGTGACTTTAGTTATGAAAAGTGTTTCAAAAATAATCTTTATGGCAAAATTAACGTCAGACATATTTTTATAGTATTTTGTTAGAAAATAGAATACTTTCAAATGTCGTACAAATGGGTTCATCATGAAAGTGTGAAAAAATCTTTTGCGAGTACTTCTGCTATTAAATTAAGGAATATTTCGATGCCAAGGTTTGAACATATTTTTTGGTCTCGAACTTTACGCCGCTTTAACGACTTGAAAAATCGAACAAATATTATTTTGAACTTGCTTAATAAAATAGGAACTCCCGTAAGACTCTTTATTTCGACTGAGTTCACTATCGACACTCAATGCTGTTTCCACTAAGATTTCTATTAAATGTTTTTCATACCAGATGATCCAAAAATATACATCAGATCACATATCTGTTGTGCGTATACATAAGAACGGAAAAACAGATATACGTCATTTGCTGATATTCTGACTGGGTTTGAATGGTTGTAGAGCAAGACTCAAAGATATTTTATTCACTCCATTTTGCTCCATTTATATGAATTTTTCCGCATTGGATGTGAACCCGAGTGGAAAAAAAGTGACTAAGTTACTATTGACTGTAAGTGACTATAGTTAGCTATATTCATGAATTTTAAAATTTTGTATGGAAAACAATCGACTATAGTTACTCAGTCAGGCGATTATTTTGGGACGTTTTGACTATCGGGTGACTATGATTATTGTCAACTATAGTTAGCTGTTGCAGTTAACCATAGCTTACTTTAATTGATTGAAGTTAACTAAATTTAACTGAGGTTGCTTGTTTTTACAGTCAATAGTCAGTCAGTTTGTCCCAAAATAGTCAGTCACTTTTTTTGTACACGAAGTAAATTGAACGTAGTTACAAGTTTGTTCTTCTTTGAATTATTGAGTGTATGGCATACAGATTAATAATTACTTAATAAAATGTCTTACATCCGTAAGATGAACTTTTCCGCACTGTGATCCACAACATGCATTTATTACAAATCCTTTACTCAAAGAATTTACGAGAAAACTGAATCTGACATTAGTTTTTCGATAAAAATGGGAATATTTGTATCGGAGCCATGCCTATATGATATCGTAATCATGTAAAAATTTGCAGAGGTCATTTTTTCACAAAAAGTTAACATTCTGAAAGTTTGAAGAAATTTCAATGCATATTAGGGATACTTCCCATACAAAATTTCGTTTTTGAGCGAAAAATCCAAAATTTTTGTTCGGGAGGTACCCCTAATATGCGTTGAAATGTCTTCAAACTCTCGGAATGGTATTTTTTTGTGATAAAAATAACCTGTGCAAAGTTTCAGCTCATTACGATATCATACAGACATGGATTTCATACATAAATTCAAGTGGATGGCTCTAAGAAGAGACACATTGCGAATGGTTTACATTAATGCCATCTGTTGGCTGGGAGAGATGGTAGAGATTGTGACATTTTTGACGTAATGTATTTTACGTATTCATGTTTTTGACAAGTCATTTGTCAATTTGGAATGTCCTGTTTCAATATCAATCCAATCACCAACCTATTTGTTAGGTTACATAAAATATTTAAAAACAAACATAAAACAATACACAGCTTTTGGTAAAAAACAAAATAAAGAGATAAAATAAACTTAAAGAATAAATTACTGATAAAAAATATATCAGTCTAATATTTATTTCTCACCATTTTTATAACGCTATTTACAGCGACTTCAAAATGCGAAAAATGACGAAATGTCATAAATCTAAATTGACAAATCAAAAACATGAATACGTAAAATACATTACGTAAATTTGGTTGGAGACGTCGGAGAAAAATAAAATTTCATCATTGTCATCATAAAAAAAATAATATAGTTTTGTTCAAAAATTCAAATAAAATCAAATTTAAAAAAATTATTATTATTATAAAGGAAAAATATATTACTTAAAATAAAAAGAGATAATAAATATGTGTATTTGTGTTACGTTACATAGAGCAAATTTGTTTACATGCTAGAGATGTAAATTTAGTTGAGAGATGTCAGGTATGATGGCGCTGATTAGGGAGACTCGCATAAAAAAGTCTCAAATCTCATATATGTGTCATCCACGTGCATAAATTCAATTTTTTTGAAAATTTTGTATGAAAAGTGTGTCGAAAGTTATTTGTATCGCAAAACTAACGTCATATTCGGTTTTCTCGTACCCAAAAACCCCCCAATACACATTTTTGAGTGGTTAAGTATACATTAAATATCACTTTTGGAAGAAAAATTGAATTTTTCTCATGAATGGCCATAGGCATCACACCAGACATGACACTTTACCCTGTCAACCAAAGTCGCTCAAAATCTAATGGTTTCTATTCCTCGGCACCCCCAATCATCCTGTGAAGTCAGATTTTGAATTACTTTTCTTGTTTGAAAGTTATCGTGTTAACAAATTTTTGCGTACAGGGTACAGCGTACAGCGTACAGCGTACAGCGTACAGCGTACAGCGTACAGCGTACAGGGTACCACGCACATACATTCGGACATCGAAAAAACGCTAGATTCGTGTTCCCTGGGTCCTAAAACACCCAGAAAACATGTTTTTTGAGGGTGTTAATTTTTCGACCGATTCCAATACTTTACCTTACACACTAGGTGTGTGCGGAAAAGTAATAATGAAATTCAATTGGGAAAAAAAACTAAACGAGTTGAAATATTACGATTAAAGATATCAATGATGATGTTATCGTAGCCCCTACGGCTTCTAATGAAAACAAATGCATTAACTTTTTGAATAAATTTGAGCAGCATGGAATGAATGCGGCAAATGTATGTAGTTCAAGCACAAATTCAACAAATGCCTTCCAAATTGTTGAGGAAATAGATAAATATGTCATCAATACGTTATTTGATTACTTTCTAATTAACTTGATGGAAATGGCTCACTTGCAAGGGGCTTATGACATATGTGAATCGCAAGAGTCTCATGTAAATTATACTAATCAATAAGAGTCTGTATGTGATTTGCGAGTCCCCTTATGATTTTCGAGTCAGTAAAAAGTCTCAATGACAGGT